ACAATTACCTACCAAAGTTTTACAAATTTACATTCCCACAGCAGTGGATCACAGCTCTTCCACACATCCATGGCAACACTGAACAGCTATATGCCACAAAGAACAGAACCCATCTTTGTCTTGTGACACTGAGAGTAATCTTAGGGAGGAAAACAATAATTAGTCATATTAAATTATCATATTTCATTCCAATATTTAGTAACCTATACAGACTTTAGAATGACCAGAGGAAGAATGAAAGTGGTTGGATGGGAGTGAGAAGCCAAGAGAAACCAGGGACCAGCCGGGTAAGGATTTGTAGGTGACTGCTGATGTTCTGCCTTAGACTCAGGGAGAAGGGGATACAGTCTGCCTTGGCTATGGAGACAGGGAGGAGAGTCATGAATGGGAGAAGCCCGTGAGGCAGCAAAGATGGCAATGGCCTGGGTCAGGGGAGTAACAATGACTTGAGAAGGGACCAGAATGTGAAAACTTTTAACACAAAGAGTTTCTTGGGGAATTACAGGGTAAAGGAGCAAGGGAGATGGCTCAGTGGGGAGAATGCTCACGTAGGCTTCTATTGTTCTTTCCACTGTATCCTGTGAAGCTGGAATCCTGGATAGGTCTTTCCTACAGTTCCTCCAGCCTCTGGGGATTGCTGAGTTCAGTAGTCCCGCCCCCAAGCTCCTGGCAGCCTCATTACCATTCAAGTTTGTCTCAGTTGAATCCTCTTAGGGTTTTAGGGCTTTTCTTTTCTTCCCTCAACTCTAATAAACAGCCATGAGATTAAGGGGAAGAGGATAAGAACAGCTTATCTCAGTGAAAAATGAACTAAGAAAACTGGAACATGGGAAAGCTAAATCTTGCTGACTGTCTGGTCTAGCAATACATCTGTGTCTCACAAAGGCCTTGGGAACCCTCCAGGCAAAACCAGCCATGGGCTGAACACGGCAGCAGGAAAGACACTACAACAGGCAGCAAGCAGAAGATCCAGTTCATCATGGGGCCTCCCCACTTGTTTTTAGAAGTAGACCCTTTGCAATAATTTCACTTCTAGGAACTCAGTAATCAGAGCTGCCCAGCAAGGTTTCTGTGTTAAGATCCCAAAACCCAGAGAGAAGCTGTCATGCTTGATCAGGAAAGACATTAGGAAGCTTGACCCTTCACCAAACAGTTGGTGCTGAGCTCAGCAAATGCTTTACTCAACCCTTCCCCTTCATGAAGGCCTTCGAAAGAGCAATTTATGCTCGCGCAGAGAGAGAGAGAGAGAGAGAGAGAGAGAGAGAGAGAG